TAGTCGTGCGCACCCCGACAGGCGTCGTCCATGAAATCGCAATTCGATTCAGAACGCTGAAAACAAACAATGCGGCCGAATACGAAGTATTTTGGCGGGAATGACGGCCGCCAATGACTTGGGGGCGAGAACAATCAGGGTGCTATCCGATTCTGCGCTCGCGGTCAACAAACTAAACGGGACCTTCGACGCAAAAAAGGATACACTCGCACAATACATTGAGCATGTCAAACAACGGATCGGTACCTTTAAAGCGGTGACATATGTGCAAATACCAAGGGAGGAAAACATCCACGCAGATGCATTATCCAAGCTAGCAACCGCCACCGACTTTGAATCGACGCGCTTAGCCTCGGTTCAAAAAGAGGAAGAGGAAAACCACCAAGACGTCATGGTCAACGCTACACAAATAGTGCAAGAGGAAGACTGGAGAGCCCCAATTATAAGGTACTTACAAGACGCTGTGGTACCAGAAGACACCAAAGAGGCGTGGACCTTAAGGCAGAAAGAGGCTCATTGCACACACATTGGTGGGGAGCTGTATCGCCGGTCATACTCCGGCGTGTACCTTAAATTCATCGGGCAAAAGGAGGCGCGCAACATAGTGCGCGACATACACGAAGGCTTGTGTGCAATGCACACAAGGGCGCGCAGTATGGAACGCACTATTTTGTTGCACGGATACTATTGGCCACGGGTAAAGGACACAAAAAAATACGCGAATCAATGCCACAAGTGTCAGGTGAACGCTAGCCAGCACCATCTACCGTCGACTGAGCTTAAGGGCAATCTGAGCCCATGGCCTTTCGCGCAATGGGGAGCCGACCTCTTAGGCCCCTTTCCAACGGCAAAAGGAAAGCGCAAGTACATAATCATGGCGGAGGACTACTTCACCAAGTGGATCGAAGCAGAAGCGCTAGCCTCAATCACAGCGCAACAAGTAACCCGCTTCTTAAAAAATAACATCCTGGCGCGATTCGGTGTCCCGACCGCACTCATATTCGACCACGGTAAACAATTCGATTGTGCGGAGGTGATAGACTTCTGTGACCAAGTGGGAGTCACAGCGAGATTCGTGTCGATAGCTTATCCCCAAGCCAATGGCCAAGCGGAATCGGCGAACAAAATAATTCTACACGGCCTACACACCCGCCTCGATGAGGCGAAAGGCAATTGGGCAGATGAACTTCATACGGTGCTATGGGAGCACCGCACCATGTTCAAAGTGGCAACAGGCGAAACCCCTTGCGCGCTCACATACGGCACAGACGCGGCGATCCCCATTGAGACGGCAGCACCCACCTATCGAATCACGATGTATGATGAAGAGAGTAATGACGAAGCGCGACTACTAGATTTGGAGTTGGCACAAGAGCGACGAGAATTGGCAGCCATCAAACTAGCCACGACAAAAGAACAGGTAGAAAAGTACTACAACGCGAAGTTGGTTCCACACAAGCTGATTCTCGGAGACCAAGTACTGCGACGGAACTTCCGCCCCGACCCCAAGCAAGGAAAACTCGCCTCCACATGGGAAGGTCCATACTTAATCCGCGAAGTTGTCGGCCAACACGTTCAAGCTTGGCGAACTGGGTGGCACAAAAATTCCAAGGATGTGGAATGCGCAGAACCTCAGGAAATATTGTCGACCCACTTGATGTATATCTTGTCTACTACCGTGAGTTTGAACAACAGCAGTATCGCCTTCATGCAATAAATAAATACAAAGTTCGGTGGAACATGAAAAGCGATAATCATGAATTATACGCGCCATATGCGAAATATTGGTACACGTTCACAGAACATACACAGTGGTAATCATGAATTATTCGCGCCACCGCGCCACGCGCCCAAGATTGATGCAAAAGTTCACAGAACACGTAAAGCGCTAATCATGAATTACGCGTGAAAAAAAGAAGAGAGAACTTTGGATTTTTCTTAACAGGAGCAACAAACGTGTGACTACATCCGCGGGATAACAGAAAACAAAATCCACAAGTGATAACGACATAGCACGACTACACTTAATCTATTATAATGTTCTTAGTGGTAGTTGTCCCAGCCTCTCAGTCCGCCGCCCCCCCCCCCCATCCTCCTCTTTAGTGGCCGCCCGGTCTCCCCGTCCTCGACCGCCCTCTTTGTGCGCGCCTCGTCCTCCTCAGTCTCCAGCTCAAAGTCGGACTCCAAGGACCTCTTCTCGCCCAACCACCTTTGCACATGCCGGACCATGGCGCGAGTGTTCCAGGGGATTACCGGATTATCCGGTCGCACCTTCTTGCGGACCGCGATCACAGCCTTGGTCATCGCGTCCGCCAAAATCTTTTCAAACGCAGTGGAAGACTTATACTGGCGGACCGCATTAACCTGTGTTGCGCGCACAACCTCCGCTTTTGCCACATCGTGAAGATGGACCAGATCCTCCTTCTCCTTCCAAAACTCCTCGCGGACCTGCCTCAGCATCTCCGCGTGGTCGGTCTACAAATGCTTGAGGTTCCTGTACATAGCGTACAGCAACGGGTCGATGGGAAACTTGAAGCTCATTCTCCAATACTCCGAGTATACCCAAACCATCCTGGGGGGCAGTTTCCAATCCGACTTCGCGCGGTGGGAACTGCATACTGTCAGTTGGAGGGCAACCCCAACCCGCGCACCAACTCTGTCACTTCCCTCCCCCCATACACCGACACGTAGTCCAGTCCGCGTACAAGATTTTCACTCGGTGCCTGCCCTGCGCCGAACATCTCCTCCCAATCTAAGATCGTGTACGCGGCCCCCACCCCACGTACGCCAAGACGGCTCATCACCTCGGTCACCCGGGAAATGCAGAATGGCTCTGACGTTTCTGGGGCATCTACAGGAACCAAGCCTGACCCGCTCGCGCGATCGCGGCGGATTATCAACACACCCCACTCGCGCATGCTCGCCTCACCACTTGCACGTTCCGGCATATCTACACCGGACGAACCATGCAACAGATCCCGGCCAGAGTCGACGTCGTATGACGGCGTTGCCGGAGCGCCTCCTTCATCAGCTCCGCCACCGTTACCGTTATCGGAATCAGCCAGATCCAGTGACAGATCAGTAGAAAGATGAGAAAGAGGGGAAAGATTACTTTCTTCGTCTTGTACGACCCCGATCTCATTGTTCACATCGTTGCTGGCCATTGTATTCAGGGAAATAACACGAACAAACTCGAGACGTTAGGTCGTCAGAGAAGAAGAGGAATCTCGTCGACAGAGAAAACCCAGAGGGACGAAGTAGAAGTTTGAGGGAAGAATAACTCTCCTTCGAAGAAAGAGGAGTATTTATAACCCCAGAAGGGTAACTGAACGGTTAAAGCTGCATCGGGGATCATAACCGTCAGAGATTTTGAATTTCAAAAAATCGTCGCCCAAACGAGTGAATGACAAAGCGCCACATTAACACGTATAAAACATAGTGGCTAGGCGATGACGTCACAGGTTCCGCACACCGCCTGGGGGGCATGGTGTACCCGTGGAGAGGAAAAAACACACTCGAAATCAAATCTGGCCGCGCAGAGCCAACAGAATCGCAGGAAGAAAAGCGGAATACGACGAGAGATCAGGCACGTACAACCAAGCCCAAGAATGCGGACGAGGAGCGCGAAGAACCGATCCCAGCGCGCAAGAGTCAAACAGGCGGCATTCGTGGAATACCCCCTGATGGGAGGCAATTTTTGGGGATATAGCTCGGATCTAGTCGCCCAAACAAGACAGACCAGCGTTCCTCTAGGAAGAACAACTCGTGTTAGTGTAGCCGCGGAAAGCCATGCTCGCGGAAGGGACTACTCGCGGCCTGAGGTTCCGCGAGATAAGACGCGTCCGCGAGTATCAAAGGCGCCAGACGAGTATCAACGGCGCCAGACGGCGTCGTTTTGCTCTACCCAAGCCGGCGTCGTTTCACATCGAAGGTGCCATACGAGTATCAAAGGCGCCAGACTGCGTCGTTTTGCTCTACCCAAGCCGGTGTCGTTTTGCTCAATTTGGACCGGGTAAGGATACTGGGAAGAACGACGTCGTATCCTCTGAAGGAACAGTCACATCCTAGTCCTAGGTATAATTATGGCTTAAGTATGGTCTAAATGTCTGACATATGCAGCAGTCATATCACATTAAATGTCCACCCACCACAATGTAGCCTATAAATAGAGCATTTACTTCGGTGGATGGGGAGATCGCATTTTTACACTCTCACTCTAAAGTATCAACTTCTCTCTCTAAGACTTCACTCTCCAAATCATCACTCACTTGTAATCTCAATCCTCCAAAGGAATAGAAAAACCTTATTGCTTGCTCTGCTCACCCCATCTTCACTCGAGCCTCACTCCTACACTCAGTTAGGGTCAAACAGTACCCTATAATGCTGGTTTGTGATTTGGAAAAGAGAATCCCACAAGCAAAAACGGTGATGGGTCTGATGTCGTGCGTGGTGGGATCGAAACACGAATGCCTGGAAGTTAGAGGTGGCAATTATCAATCCAATCCACCAATCCAACCCATCAATCCATTAAAAATATCCACCTAATCCAATCCATTTAAATCCAATCCATTTGATCCAAATTCAATTGGATTGGTGGATTCATGGATTGATCCATGGATCCAAATGACAAATTACGGTTTGGTAACTATACTTTTTATATTTTACATTTTGGTACCCAAAAATTAAATTTTTATATGAAAAATATCATTGGAAAATTACGTTTTGGTACCTAAAATTTTTCATTATGACATTTTAGTACCTAAACTTTTCACAATTTACATATCGGTCCTTGGTTGATGATGTTATTTGGATTCATGGATAATCCACCAATCCACTTCATCCAATTAATTGGATCAATCCATTTGATCCATGGATCCACCAATCCATGGATCAATCCATTTGCCACCTCTACTGGAAGTTGTTCGACGATAGTTGCCCACATTTATTGGCTCCGCTCTCCAAAGTAAGGATCGATCAGTCGAGAGATTGCACTGCATTTATCATGGATGGTGTTTCGATGGCTCTGGCAATTGTAAACTCATCCCCCAGGCTCCAATAGATGGTCCGCCGGTAAACTCCTCAATGAAGAGGATAATAGCTAACGACCGGGACTTGCAGAGCCTCATAGCTCTACCACAACACAGGCACCGAGTCACCTCCATCACCAAGAGTTGATTCGCTAGCAACAGCACCAATGCATCCGCCCTTAACCGGGTCGCTATATCCGACTCGTAAATGCAGTACCCATTGTTGTTCACATCCGCCTCCACCCTCCCTTGTTTTCCAATAGCAAAAACAGAGTTAAAAAAATCGGGTGAACTTATACGCAAGAGCTGAGGATTTTTGGGCGACTCGAATTTATGGTGGTGCATATCTGTTTGGCAGCGACGGCGAGGAAGAAAGCGATGAGATCGAGGACCAACACGGCGGCAATCAGCAGTGTGGAAGCCATTATTGCTATTGTTATCGATCTCCGTCGGGAAGTCAAATCAGGGTTTGAGGAAAACAAAGGAGACAAATGCGTTAGGAGGAAGACCATTAGCTAAGTCCCAAGGCAAGCTCAAAATGTGGAAACAGTGAAATGGGAGTATTGGACCTTTACTCCAAGCTAAGAGAAAGAGGAAGAAGTGGAAGATGAATTTTTTTTTAATTTGAAATTTTCTTTTTATTTTTTTAAATGCCATGTCATCAAACTAACGTTCAAATGATTTAGTTGACTGCCACGTAGGATGATTTTAACATAATTGGAAGGTCGGTGGCTACGGTGAAACGATTCGTAAAGTTGATGACAAATAATAAAAAAAAGTGAGGGATGACAAACGTGAAAGATTCGTATAGTTTGAGTGACCAAATGTGTAATTTAGTCATTAGTAGAAGTTAGAATCTTCTATAACTAATTCAACAATATAACAAATAACTTGTTTAAAATGCTAACTAGATGACTTTAGACAAGTCCTCTGAATTTGATAACCATACTTTTTAATATTGATTATTACATACTAATAGGTATAGAAATAAAATTTCAATGGATAAGTGTGGTTTGTGCGATTACTGTGGTTTAACCACAATGATTAGTGGTTAGCTAACCACTAACCACAAAATCCACAATTTTACTAACCACAACAAAACCACTAACCACATTTCGATGCGTTTGCAGTTAAATCGCAAACCACAAACCAAACTTCCACCACTATTCAAGTCTACCATACCCAAAATTCGTCAAAGAAACTAGAGAAGATATTACAACTATGGTACTGGATGAAACATGAAGCAATGAGTTGGAACTCCTGGACCAAGCTGTGGATTTCCCAGGGGCGGCCATAGAAGTAGAAGGATCAAATCGTCTACCTAGGCTTCCACAAGTTCTCCCCAAGTTGAGTCAAGCCTACGTAGAATCCAACCTTCGAACCAATTGTTCGGCCATATTCCCAATTTGGTCACCTCAATGTCTACTTTTCGATGCTCTGGTGTCTCATTCATTACAAACCATTCATCACACTTCCTAACACAACCCCTAAGGTTTTCGCCGGAGTCAACTTTCAATTCGACATTTCGTCGAACAGTTGGCCACCGAGTTTCTGGAATAGGAAGTTGGGCACTCCGGTCACCTCGTAACGTCGTTGACGGTGAAGGCAATGGATTTGCCGGTGAAATCACAGCTGCCGGTGTTGGTTGGAGGAAGAGTCTTTAGATAGGCTTGGCGGATGAGGAGTTGTTCGTCGTAAGTTCGAGAAGTAGGTGATTCTTGTTGTGCCCCTCAGAAACTGCTGCTAAACATACAGTTTCAGGGAATGCAAGAACTTCACCTCCCAAGCAGCTAAACAAGCTCGAAGTTTCGGCTGTATCGCCGGATTAGCAATGACTGTTAACCGTTCTTCCATCATCCACGTCGGCGAAGTCATGTTTGCTGGAAAAGGACTCTGATAACGCTTTGTAACACCCTCGGTTTTTTAGGATTGGCGATACAAATTCGAGGGGTGCAAGTTGAGGGGAAATTGTCGGGATTTAATTGAGGAGGGAAAATGGTTATTTTGAACGAAAAAGTAGGAGGGTGCAAATAGAGTGAAAATAAGTAAATTATATTATCATAAAATAAATTTATCAAATTAATAAAATATTATCATAAAATAATAATATATTTTTTTATATAAAAATCATAATTATTAAATTGTAATGCTCGAATATTCATTAATTATAACAATTGTGATAATCATTTGCTGAGCAACCTCAAAGTTCGAAGTCCAACTTGTAACTGGTCATATTACAAGGTTATCGTGTCCAGTTTAACTTTAAATTGAATCTGGTCAAACTTAGTCAAATACGTTCGAATCAGTAAGTTTGAACTATTTAGTCAAGTAAACTGAGTCAACCAAACCGTTCATCTCTCTACATTTTTCATAAAAACTTCTTCTCTCTAATTCTCAATGCAAATTCGAGTCAACCAAAATATCTCGATTTGACTGGACGAGCACTGGCAAACTTGCTCCCGGAATCAAACGGTCACTCCAAACAACGTTTAAATTAATTAATATTAATGATTATAATTTATAGTACATTAACCAAACATGTTACAAATAGTAACACATTTACCCAATTTGAGGTAAGTCCAAATAGTAAATCTGGACGCCTTTTAGTACCCATACCGTTACCAATTAACCAAACATATTGTGCAAAGTTGTTGAAAATTGTGCTTACCCAGTTACCCTTCTAAGCACCCCTCCTCTTAAGCGGTTGCTAAGTACTATTCAATTGTCGGTTGTGGGTTGGGCCATAGGGATCAGGTGGGTTGGACCATGTGCTGGGATGTTGACCCAATTACGGTTTCGACGATGGGCTTCATGCAAATTGCAATGGGCGTTTGGTTCGGTTTCCCCTAAAACTTCTTTTTTTGGTGGGAAACAGGGTGCAAAAGGCACCCAAAAATCAAGTAGGTACAAAACGAGGGGTCTCAACCCCTAACTGATCGAACAGGAGCCAATAGTTGAGCATGCTACTAGGTTGATTGATAATGTGCACTCCCGGAGAACTGGAATGTCCCGTTGAAGCAAGGTAATCCGCCACCACATTCCCCTCCCTGAAGACATGCTCGATCCGTACCTGCCAATCTCGCTGTAGAAGGTGCCTGATCTCCGACACGGTCGTAAAATGAGGATGAGTAGTTGCTGCCGACTCTAGGAGATGGATAGCAATTTTGGAGTCTGTTTGGAGGATAGCCTTCCGAATCCCCACCTCCCAAGCACAGCGGAGTCCCTGCGCCATTCCCATCAGTTCAGCTCGAGTGATAGAGCCACCTCCTAAGTTCATTGTGAACGCCTGCCGAAAGTTGCCCCTATCATCTCTGATAATCCCGCCCGCTGCAGCGCTTTGAGTAGATAGAACCGCTGACCCATCTGTATTAATACTTGCCCAGCCTTCGGGCGGTAGCTTCCATGAAATCATCTTCTTCTCGGCCATTCCTGGTACGCCCAAAGTATGCTCTGCCTTAGCAAATGCCTCTATGATCTGCTTGTGATGTCTCATAGCCTCATTATGCAGCTTAACAAAGGGTGCCAAAGAATCTTCAAACACAAATTCATTCCGATTTTTCCACAGCAGCCAGCACATCACGGCAAAGAGGGTAGCGTTGAGGTCCGTACCTCTGCCTGTAAGATAATGCATGACCCAGCTCTTGAAATCCTCTTGAAAGAAGTATTCATCCGACTCTTCTCTGAGCAGCCCTGCCCACGCCCCTCGAGCGAATGGACAATCTCTCAGAACATGGAGCAGTGACTCCTCACTCCCGCCGCAAATTTTACAGGCCGCCTCATTTGAAAGGTGACGTCGTCGTCTTTCCACATTTGTCAGCAAACGATCATGACAGGCCAGCCAGAAGAAGGTTCAGATTCTTTGTGTTCGTGGCAGCTTCCAAATCACCTTCCAGCCATGGAATCCGGCTCCCTCTTGACCTGCATCAGCAATTAGCTCATAGGCTGTCTTAACAGAGAAAGTTCCCGTCGGGGTGTAGCGCCAGGTCGGGACGTCTGTTTCCACACCTGCCGGGGCGTCGTGCAAGAGGATCTGTGCAACAACCTCCTCCGGTAGAAAGGCCCTGATGTAGTCCACATTCCACGACCCGCTCAGCACCATTTCCGAGGCTTTAATGTCTCTTGCTGCAGCTGGCAGGTTCGGGGCGTATTCCGCAAGAGTAGGCCCATCGTGGAGCCACCGATCCGTCCAGAAATTCACCTGATGACCACCCCGCAAATTCCAAATCGTCGCCTCGGGAACCAAGTGTAAGACCCGAAGAATCCCTCGCCACATGTTCGACATGCGCCCTGTCGTTCTCGGCTCCAAACCATCAGGTCTTTGCTTCAAATATTTTGCACGTACTAAGCGAGCCCATAAAGCATCAGGCTCCACAAAAATTCTCCAAGCCAATTTAAGCATGAATGCGTCATTCATCTTGGTTGCATCCCGCATACCCAAACCGCCTTCAATGCGAGGCCGACAGATCGTTTGCCAATCGATCAAGTGGATCTTCCTTCCCGACTCCGAGCTCCCCCATATGAAAGCACGAAGTTTCTTGTTAATGTATTCGCGCACGCTCGCTGGGAGGAGTGTCGTTTGCATCGTATAGGCTGGCAGCGCTGCAAGGACCGACTGCGCCAGTGTGATACGTGCTGCAAGCGAGAGCGTCGAGACCTTCCATCCCGCAAGTCGTGAATCAATCTTATCAATTAAGTCCACAAATGTAGCCTTGGACACCCGGTCGTGGATGACCGGGACTCCGAGGTATCTTCCCAAGTTCTTCGTTTCGGGGATATCCAAGGCATTACTGATTTCTGCAGCTAAACCTGGTGTGACATTCTTCGAGAAAAAGACCCGGGATTTGGCCTTGCTCACCTGTTGTCCCGATGCAGCTCCAAACTCCTCCAAGATGGTATTAATCAATTGCGCCTGCGGGCCTGATGCCACTCCAAACAGAATCAGATCATCTGCAAAGAACAGGTGTGACAGAGCTGGTGCAGACTGAGCAATCTTGATCGACTTCCAGCTACCACGATCAACCGCATCTCGGATTAGGTGGCTTAGTCGCTCCATGCATAGTGTGAATAGGTACGGCGACAGCGGGCAGCCCTGCCGTAATCCCCTCGAAGGAGTGAACTCGTCCGACAGGCCACCGTTCCACTGTATCCTCATGTGAGCTGAAGTTATACATTCCATCGCCAGCTTTATAAATTTTTCCGGGGCCCCAGCAGCCTGTAGGGTATCCTGAACAAAGCTCCACTTGATACGATCGTACGCTTTGGCCAGGTCCACTTTCAGGATCATCCACCCTGTCCTGCCCGTTTTGGCTCTCATTGAATGCACAACTTCCTGCAAAACACAGATATTGTCAGTTATATGTCTTCCCGGTACAAAGCTCGTCTGGGTTTCGTGCACAAGCTTCTGCATCAACGGTTTCAGTCTCTCAGCGAGGCATTTTGTGATGATTTTATACCCCACATTGCATAGACTGATGGGCCGGAACTGTTCGATCAGTGTGGGCTGCTTTACCTTCGGTATCAACACCAGTATAGTCTCGTTGATTACACTGATTCTCGACGGATCCTCCCAACACCCTTGAGCGAAATCACTGTATTTAGAACCCACCATACTCCATAAACGTTGATAGAAGAGGGGGTTCAGTCCATCCTTGCCCGGGGCTTTCAATGGTCCCATACCCTTTACTGCAGCATGTAGTTCCTCCATATCGAACTGACCGTCAACTGCCACCCAGTCCTGCTGCGATAGCGTCGGGAATTTGTGTAGAATATGCGTGACAGGAGCACCATCATCCAGATAAAGGGCCGCGAAGAAGTTCCGAGCAATATCTTGTAGCTGGTTCTGATCCTCACACCAATCGCCATTTTCCAGTTTCAAGGCCAGGATTCTGTTCCGCTTCCTTCTCTGCATGGTTCGTGCATGAAAAAATTTTGTATTCCGATCTCCAGAGGCAATCCACTCCATGCACGATTTCTGACACCACAACAGTTCCTCCTGTAGTAAAATGTCTTCTAGTTCGTCCCGAAGACTATTCAGGGGCTCGATATCAGCGTCCCCTCCAAACCTCTATTCCAGCTGCTCTATTCTCCTCAGTATCCTCTCTTTCCTACGCTGTATATTACCAAACGTGTTCCGGTTCCATTGCCTGGCCTCCACGACAAAGGTCTCCACACTGCTGGGGAAATCAGCCCCCTTAGCCCATGCCGAAACCGCCATCCCTTGGAACTCCTCGTGCGTAAGCCACGCCGCAATAAACTTGAACGGTTTAGGACCTTGCGCCTGAACATTTGGATTCAATTTGATAAGCAGAGGTCTATGGTCCGACTTCATCCTAGGAAGATGGTACACTGTTGTTTTCGGGAATAAGGTGGACCATAGGTAGTTAGCTAACCCTCTATCCAGGCGCTCCTTCACTCCCCTACGGAACCCAGTAAACGGCGGTCCCGAGAACTGTAAGTCACTAAGTCCCGAGTCCAATACACAATCTTGAAACTCCTTGACCCTGCTAGCGTCGAACGGGGCGCCTCCCAGCTTCTCTGAAGCATGCAGCAGAGAGTTGAAGTCGCCCGCCAGCAGCCAGGGCTCATTCATATCATCTGCGATGGTTCTCAAAGCTGCCCATAACGACCGACGTTGAATTAATGCCGGGTTGCCATAAACTTCCGTGAAATAGAAGCTTTGAGTGCCCAATCTAGCTTGAACATGCAGTAACTGGGAAGTACGGTCTTTCTCCTCAATCTGAATCACGCCTGAGTCCCATAAAATCCAAATTCCACCAACAAAATCTTCCGCATCCACTACCAGCTCTTTATCGAAACCCATTTTACCAATGACATCTACTGCCTTAGCCCCGCTAATACGAGGCTCGACGATCACCGCCAAACACGGGTTATACCTGCGCTTGTATTCCCTGAATACCCGAAGGAAGCGTTTACTTCCTGCACCCCTACAATTCCAAGAAAAAATGCTTATATCCATGAGAAAACAGCTGTAGGGTACCACTGGGTTCTTGGGTTAGTTCGTTGACGATGACGCCCCTGGAGGGGAGCCCATCGGTAGCTTAGCTTGCCCACTGTTTCCGGACGCCAACTTGTTCACTGCGTCGATCATATCCTTCGTATGCATGGGTTGCATGCTATTTGTGGAGGGGTCTAACAGGGTAGTGCGGGTGCTATCCCCTTGCTGAAGAGGGTTGTCACCATGCTCCTCTATCACTTCACCCCTGGTTAGATTCATTTGAGTTTCTTGCACTTGGACCAAGAGAGGGTTGGCGGAGGCCCCCTCCTTCACGTTTGGTATGGGCTGGAGATCCATGTCCATTGTCACATTGCCCCCCTCGAACGTACCTTTTCCCGCTCTAAGCGATGTCTGGCTTCTCACATTTGACTTCTCCACCTGTTCCTTCGTAATAGGTCCCTCCATGGGTGTACCGGTTTCGGCATTAGATTCACCTGCGTACGAACCCCGTTTCTCCACCCACACCCGCTGGGGGTGACGTGTTTTCCCGGTTGCTGTATCATTCCCCCCTCTTTCCAGTGGGGCCATCATATTGTCTTTCCTGGCAGTGGTACGCTCCCCTCCCTTAGATGGCACTTCAGCTCCTTCGTCATCACCAAGTACAGCAAATCGGGATCCGGTGGGTTGGGCCCGGCCAGAGTCATGTTTCCTCGTGAACCGCTCATCACTGTAACCGAAGTTCTGTTTCTGGTACGGGCGGCGTTCTCTTCTTTTAGCGATCATCCATTCCCCATAATTTTCAGCGTGGTGGGGTGCTACGTGGGTTGCTTCAGTCCGGGGTTGTGGGGTATCAGGCTCTTCACTATGCAATGTAGGGCAATGACTCTTCTGGTGACCATAGGAACCACATTCAAAGCAAACATTTGAGAGGCCTTCATATTGAAGTTCATATTCCACCCCCTCGACATTATACTTCGACAACAGCGGCTTGGTAAGGTCAACTTCTATACAGGCCCGAGCGAACAGTCCTCGTGCTCCCAGCTCAGTAGCTCGATCTACCCGAACCGGAGTCCCTGCTTTGCTTACTATACGGAGGACAGCTTGCGGATTAAACAGCTCAATAGGAAGATCCGGTAATCTCACCCATACCAAAGTAGAAGAAACAGTGCAAGTACGAGGGTTAAAGCCTTTCTTCCATTTTTGAGTTGTCAAGTAGTGATCACCAAGCATCCATGGGCCTCCTGTGAGGGCATGTTCATAGTCGATTTTATGGGCGAATCTCACAAACAGGAATCTGTTTGCTCTATTGGTAACTTGTATTGGACCATTCTTAGCCCACAGCATGTTTAGCCTTCTCGCTATCACTGGATACGGGAACGACCGGCCAAGGGCCTTGACGACGATAGCCGAGCGCCACTCTCTACGGTAACTGCGCAGCTCCCCCTTGGTAAAGCATATTGTCGGGCATCGGGGGTCCTCCTCATCAACAGGCGAATCCTCGGCAACATCTTCTCTCATTGCTTCAGCTACATCCTCGGAGTCCGAATCCTCCACGTACCAGGTTTCTTCACGAACCGCTTCACTGAACAACTTCTTACGACCTATCCCCCAGGCCATAGGCGGGGCCGGGGAGTTTTGGCTTTGAGTTTGGGACGGCGGGGATGTTTGATGGGTGTTTGAATAACCCTGCTGCTGCGTCTCCTGTAGTTCTTCATCAGTGATATCCTCAACTACAACCTCGTCCATGTTAATATTCACGTTCGCTAGATCGATTCCCCGAACCCTCTTCTTTGGGTGTTGCGCTTCACGAGCCTTCTTTCCATCCGAGGACGAGGTTACCTCAGGTGGACGACGGACTCCGGCAGTAGGGTCCGGTGGTTTTGGTCCCTCCGGCAGAACGCATTGTGGTACCGGCGACGACGTCGCCGCCATCGTGAAAGGTGATGCCAACTGGGAAGTAAACCCTAGCCGATTTCCTGGATCCGAGAAAACCGGAGCTATTGACTAATTTCTTTTTCCGACAACATCTTCAATTTCCCCTAAAACTGAGAAGACTTCTCCATCCAAAACTATTTTTGGCATGAAATACGATTGAAAGAAATATGCTTAACGTGGAACAATGTCCTCTCCATATTCCCCATTTGTCTCTTCTTTCTTTTTTTTCCTTGTTAGATTTCCATTTTTTTCCCTTGTTAGATTTCCAGGGGTTTTTTACAGGAAGTATTTTTTCTGGCTTTGGTGTGACCAACAGACGAAAACTATGCCACACAAAATGATTTTATCCCCCTTAATATGTCGAGTAATTAGGTTTTATGTGTGAACTCGATTGTGCTCCAAAATTCCAATTCTCTTGTTGAAAATATCAAGCCATTTGAACCCAATTCCTACTCCAAACCCTTTGAGGTTGGTTCCAACTTCCAAGAGTCAAATTCCAATTTCTCTAACCGTGAGGAGACACACATGGTGATCAAAATCATCACCTTCCACAGTTTGCTAACCCTTACGCATACGTCTACTACTATTTTAATTTCATCTTAGATGGAAAACTTATTATGCTAAATACATTTGTATAGTCAAAATTTTCACGTTTGTGCCAATAATAGTCAAATTTATAGAAATACCACTTATAGCCACTTCCGTCCAATACTTTAACGGTGTTATCTAACAAAGTGACTGGACTAACATCAACGGTTGACGTGACATATTTTATTAAAAAATAATGACAGGTGGAAAGTCATTAAAATATTTCCTTTAATTTTAATTAAATTAAATAAAAATATACAAAAATAATAATCTCAGTCTTCACCACTGCCGGTTCTCCTTCCCATCTTCGAAATCGCCGTCGTTGTTGTATCGTTCTCTTTGATTTCCTCATCTCCATCAACGAACAACAATAAAAGATTACCTACAAACAAAACCATTTCTTCTCTTCTCCTCTCATCTGTATCGTCTTCTTTCTCTCTTCAATTCCGTCATTTGTAGATTTCGGCATCCCCTGGAGTTGGTTGATTGGGCTCTATCCCCAATCCCCCAGAAATATACAGGCTGCTTCCGGGTTGCTCAAGAATCCCTAATCTCGCAATCAAAATTGTCCCGGATCCACCTCCAAGATCTGTCAAACTGGCCGCCAAAATCTCGCCTCAATCACCCCAGAGAAACCCCACCGCTCATCTACATCGACTCTGACCTTGCTATGCTCAACGTCGTCGAGTACTAGTGGCGGAGGATGAGAGTCAGCGAATCGAGGAACTCATCTCCCAAACCCTAGACCTCTGCACCATCGAGAAAGTCTCACCAAAATCTTATGGTTTTGTTCAACCCCTGTTTATTCCCAAATCCTAGCCCTCACACCACGACTGGGTCGGATCTGGCTGTGACATAAATCGCGGAAGGAGACGGTGCCAGCGAGAGGAGGCAGCGCTTCCAAGTGAACAGGGCTATCTCTCTCTACCGACAAAGCTCGATCGAACCCAGATCTCTGCCCGCCCTCCGCTCCAACTTCATCCCATCATATCGTCGATTTTGCCCCAACAATCATCGCCCGAGCCTTGCCCTCTGCTACTGCTCGACGACGACGCGACAGTGGGGAGCAATTGCTCTCCCTGCTTATGTATTGTCTATCGCCGGCCGGGTTATCATGCTGGGTAATTTGCCAATGATCGGAATCCTCTCCGACGAGGTGACAGAGTGGCTAAGCAAGAGTCGACAATGTAGAGAGAGAAAGGGGAAGTGAGGTGGGGAAGGGAAGGGCCAAAAATTAAGTGATTAATTTTATTATTTATTATTAATTTTTATTAATTAATTTCTGATGTATGTAATGATGATGTGTCACTTTTTGCTTATTTGACGCTGATGTGTGTGCTGAGTAGGAGCCTAGTCAGCGAACCGTCAAAGAACTTGACGGTGTTACTAACACCGTTAAAGTATTTAACGGAAATGGCTATATTTGTCCTACAACAACTTTAAAAGCTGGCTATAAGTGGTATTTCTCCAAATTTGGATATTATTGGAGACAATGGAGCATTTATTTTGGTTTTTTCATGTGGCTAGGGCTCTGTGGGATCACTCGGGGCTTGATGAACTGGGCCAGGGGCTGCCTCGACACTCTTTTCCGTTCTTTCTCAAAAAATTGATGGTTGTTTTGTCTTCGACTCAGTGGTGGGTGGTGGTGGAGTCTCCTGTGGAGAATCTGGCGATCGAGGAACTGAGTGGTGTTCGAGGGAAAACAGTTCGGGATCCCGGCGCTCATGCGATAGTACCATCAGCAACATCAAGAGTGGGTCCGTCTTCCTATGGACCGTGGCATTCAGCGGGTTGGGCTGCCGGCGCAGCGAGTAGTTGAGAGTGACGATGATAGGTTGGTCTGTAGATGGGATGGTGCCACTAAGAGCGGGTCTCACTCGGCAGGAGGGATGGTCATCTTGGACCGGGACGGACAAACCATTTTAGCACAAGGGACGCAGTACCCTGTTGTGGATGATCCTATAGTGGTGGAGTTGCTCGTTCTCCGGGAGGCGATCCTCTGGTGCTTAAGTATGAGGCTTTCGGCAGTTCACTTTGAGGGGGATGCCAAGGTGGTGATCGACAAGATTCTTCAAGCGGATGCCCGGGATAGTCGAATGGGCGCAATTCTGGAGGAGGTTATAGGTTATCTTACGAATCATCTTGGCTTATGTGTGCGATTTGTAGGTCGAAGTAACAATCGGGTGACCCAATTGGTGGCTAGGAAAGCCCTTTTATTGTACCCGACTGTGAGTCGCTATTTTGATTTCACTGTCTGGCTTCACCAGGATGTAACTATCGTTTTGTTCCAATCAATATATCTGATTATCTTTGGTATAAAAAAATGGCACAAACGTGAAAGTTTTGGCTATACAAGTGTATGTTGCCAACTTATAATCCTTTTTTTCCTCTTCCAATTTCGATTGCTATTATGTTTATTCTTGTTGTACCATAACGTTGTATCGCGGTCTTACTTGGCTATACTTCAAGCATTGTATAGCAAATATGGGCTGTATTGTAATAAGAAAAACCATTATTTGTAATTTTAAGGGTAATGACTATTTATTAGCCAAACTTATTGAAATGCGATTAATTAGTCAAATCTTTTGTAATGCATCAAATTATTAGTCATTTTTACGTTATCATTTATAATTTTATAACTCATTTTTTTGTTAAAATGCTAAAATTTTGAAATGTTGACCTTCACATGTCTCTTTTAAATCAGTATCATGTTGCCTAGTTAATATTACTAACAAAATTGCTAACTGTAAGTTAGGATTTGGCTAATTATTAGTATTTCAACAGGTTTGGCTAATCAAAAATAATCTGAAAAGGGTTTGGCTAACAGATAGTAATAACCCTAATTTTAAAGGGCAGGCCCAATAATAGTATGAGAAAATAAAATTTAGGGTAATGACTATTCATTAGCCCAATTTTTTTGGATTCTTTTTTATTATCCAAACCTATCGAAATAGTAAGAATTAGCCAAATATTAACTTCCGGTAGCAATTTTGTTAGTAATATTCTTCATAAAAAAAATTTGTTAGCCATATTGACTTGACAACATGATACTGACTTAGAAGAGACACATGAAGGTCAACATTTCAAAATTTTAGTATTTTAACTAAGAAAAAAGTTACAAAATTATTAACGATAACGTAAAAATGACTAATATTTTGGTGCATTACAAAAAAATTGACTAATTAATAATATTTTAATAAGTTTGACTAATTAAAAGAAATATGAAAAAAATTGGCTAATAAAGAGTCATTACCCGTATCTTCTAGTTACAACTTTAACACTCATTAGCATGTTAATTATAACGCCAAATGTCACATAGCCCAACTAGTGTGAGTGTACATGGGCGCTGGGCCGTGCTTGGGCCGCAACGGCACAGGCACGCTTCGGGCCCATTTATTTCATGTCGTGCTTGGCACGGCCCGTCAGTTTTCGTGTCGTGCCATGCAAGCCCACTTGTCAACTTTGCTAGGCCCGGCCCAGGCCCGGGCACGGTTCGAATCGTGCCGTGCCTATTCGTGCTCGTGCCATGCTCGTATTCGTATTTAATGAAAAGGACGAAAACAAAAGAGAGAATGAAAAAGAAGGTGAAAATTGGACGGGGGAAGATAGTATAAACCGATAATGTTTGAGAAAAGTAACAAATAGGGGGAAAAGAAAATTAAAAGTATAGCGAGTGTGATTTGGTTTTGTTTAATTCTTTGTCTATTTTTACTTACAAATAATTATTTTTCTACTTGTGTTTTGTAATATTTGAACCTATAATTCTTTTTATACTTATTTTCTATCAAATAAATATTATTTTCGTGCCATGTCCGTTCTTATACTCAAATAAGTCTCGAAAATATTAGGCCCGACACGGCTCACTTATATACCGTGCCATGCTCGTGCTCGTGCCCGTGCCCATGAAGTTTAGGCCCGGCACGACCCATAAATTATTCGTGCTCGTGCCGGGCTGGCCCATTTATTTCGTGCTCGTACTCGTGCCGTGCTCTAACCGTGTCGTGCCGTGCCGTGCTAGTCCGTGGACGGCACGGCCCGGTGCCCACGTACAAGTGTGAGTGCGGAAAAAAGGGACGACTTGGGAGGGTCAGCTCCCAAGTTCGATCCTCCAAGCCATCAGATAGGTGTTTCCGAAGGCACAATGGGATCCTCATCCTAGTGGTGGGTAGACCCTGCTGTGGGCCCAAGCTACGCAGGCTTCAATGGAGAATGGCTAAGCTTCATCTCTCTCCCTAATCTCTTACTGGACAGGTTTCCACACTGTCAGCCCAGCAATAGTAGCACACAGTTCAAGGTGCATCATATTCCACGTGTCAGGATATGAAAATATATAATCAGGGAATTAAATTATTATCGTTTATACCAAACAAGTGGGCGTTGGCCACTTTCAACAATGCCAAAAACTTCTTCCTTCATAAACCCAAAATAAAAGCTTCAAACTAATTATTATAATGTGAAAGGCGTTGGAGATTCCATTCATATTTGTGTTTCGTAAAAAATATAGAGGCTTCATAAAATTAGAGGAGACAATCTAATTAATTTAACATAAGTTATTTTTTTATAGAAAATAAGATTTATCAATGAATTAGAACAAAATTTAGTTGAGTTATTGATATAATATAATACATTATCTTCAATGCATTTTTATCAAATAAGTCTCTTTATTATTTTATCCAAACATACATGGGTATTCTAAAAAAATATCAAACATATCCTTTTGTTTAAATTTTATATTAAAAAAATCTTGAAGCACTATCTAACCGTGATTTAAAAGACACAAATGTTTGAATAATAATTTTATTTTAACTTTTTTTTTTCATTTCTTTTGTATAGTTTAATGCTCCTAATAATTGGACATAAAAAATAAATAGAGGGCCAAAAGTGATATTTTTTTCTCTATAACTCTTTCACCAATAATGATCACGGTAACACTTTAGACAAATTTCACATTGACAAATACGGGAGAGATCAATGTTTAAACAAGTCAGAAATCAGTCTTAACTGACAAGACGCATTTTGAGGTGAAATTGAAGAATTATTGTAAGAATAACGAAGTTAAACGTGCTCATTATAAAACATTGTAAGGATGAGTGACCTATGCACCGCAAGGTATAATCCGTAAAGGTATAGACTCAAAGTCCATAATATATTGGGTTAATATTTTCATATGGCCTGAACTTTGACCAAAATAAACATCCTGACCAATCTTTTTGATCTATAACATCCTGGCCCGAACTATACACCAAAATAAACAATTTGGCCAAACCCGATGTTTGACCGTTAACTTGGACGGTCAAACGCGTTGACTAACGGTCAACGCGCCACATCACTGCCAAGTCAGAAGATCTATAAATATTTATTTTTTTATTTTTTTATTTTTGGTTTAACTAAGGTATTAGATGATTTTTTTTAATTTATAATAATTTAAAATTAGGGAATGTGTGGAAATTGTGAATTATTTTAAATATTTTATGCTGATTTGGCAGTGACATGGCGCGTTGACTAACGGTCAACGCGTTTGACCGTCCAAGTTAACGGTCAAAAGTCTGATCTGGCCAAATTGTTTATTTTGGTGTATAGTTCGGGCCAGGATGTTATAGATCGAAAAAATTGGCCAGAATGTTTATTTTGGTCAAAGTTCAGGTCATACGAAAATATTAACTCTAATATCTTATAAAAAATGTTTGGAATGTTACAAGTAACAACCACTATTTATAAGTAAATTTTGTTCCGGAAAAAAAAAGCTAATTAATTATTTAATTTGGTGCGGATAAGTGATAACTATCGACGTTCTGATTTTCGAGGGAAAATCAAAGGCGACAAAGAAAAAATAGGGGGAAGAAGCCGAAAATGGTTGTGTGAGCCACGAACCTCCTATAAATTTATTACCAATCCAAAACACGACTGAAAATCTTGGATATTATTATCCGCCATTCCCACAGCCTCAATCGGTGGTGCTAATCTTCTTCCCCTTTTCCTCGTCTCCCCCATTTCTTCACCAATCAATCCGTCTCTCCCGCCATGGATCCCTACAGGGTACGTACTGATTGCTTCATCGCTCGCTTGCTCCTTTTGGTTGCTAGTTCGTTTGTGTGTTTTCGCACAATTAGAACCCTAATCCCTGTTCGATTTTCGGGTTCATTTTCGTTTTGGGCAATTAGTTTGGTGTTTGTAGTGTTCTCTTTGATTGATGGCTTGCCTGGTTTTGATTACAGCATCGTCCTTCGAGCGCTTTCAATTCTCCGTTCTTCACCACCAATTCTGGTGCTCCAGTATGGAACAACAACTCGTCGATGACTGTTGGACCTAGAGGTATTTGGTTTCTTGCTATGCCCTGCTTCGCTTATTCTTTTGTGGGATTGGTAAATCGTTAGTCTCTATTCTATTGTTTTATGCACTCTGTAGTGTTTGATAGTGAATTGGTGTGGATTAAATAACGATGTGTGCTAGCTTTTACAGTGATTTGCTTCCCGTCTCTTGTTTTTTTCTTCATTTTGTGTGTGAGCTTGATTGGGTTGGTTAGAAAGTTGGAATTATTTTAGGGGTTATGCAATTCTAGTTTGGATGAAATAGGGGTAGGGGATTTCTATAGATCGGTTTATGTTTGGTGGAATTTATCACAAAGACAGATTGGTGATTGTTTATGAACATGGTTTTGCGAGATTGAGCTTGTTGCTACTTGTTCTCTTTTTGGCAGGTCCAATTCTTCTGGAGGATTATCATCTGGTGGAGAAGTTGGCCAACTTTGACAGGGAGCGAATTGCAGAGCGTGTTGTCCATGCCAGGGGAGCAAGTGCAAAGGGTTTCTTTGAAGTCACCCATGATATCTCTAATCTCACTTGTGCTGATTTCCTCCGAGCTCCCGGAGTTCAGACTCCTGTGATCGTTAGGTTCTCCACCGTTATCCATGAACGTGGTAGTCCTGAAACTCTGAGAGACCCTAGGGGTTTTGCAGTGAAGTTCTACACCAGAGAGGTAAAGCTGTTATACAATTCATCGTTTACCCATTTTGCTCTTAGTCTAGTCTTTGTGAATGAAATCATGGTGTAGCCTGTATTTTCTGCTGTGTCTTTTTTATGTTGTCTCATCTTTACCATGTCCCATTACATCTGTTTTACTCCTATGTCCGGAATCATCAACGTTTTGTTTACTAGGCTAGTTCGTAGTTTCTTGAATAGTAAATCGGACGGTTATATCTGCCTGACATTGTGCAGCCTACTCATATAAGTATTCATGATTCAGTTTTGTGAGTTCTCAATGTCTCTTTGCTCTTAATAATGCAGGGGAACTTTGATATGGTTGGAAACAACTTCCCAGTATTCTTCATCCGTGATGGTATGAAGTTCCCAGACATGGTGCATGCTCTCAAGCCAAACCCTAAATCTCACATTCAGGAGAACTGGAGAATCCTTGACTTCTTCTCCCATCACCCTGAAAGTCTGCACATGTTCACCTTCCTCTTCGATGACCTTGGTGTTCCTCAAGACTACCGACACATGGAAGGTTCCGGTGTCAACACATATACCTTGGTCAGCAAGTCGGGGAAAGCTTACTATGTCAAATTCCACTGGAAGCCCACTTGTGGGGTGAAGTGTCTGTTGGAGGATGAGGCAATTAAAGTCGGTGGTGCTAATCATAGCCATGCTACCCAAGATTTGTATGACTCCATTGCAGCTGGAAACTACCCTGAGTGGAAGCTTTTCATCCAGACAATCGATCCAGATCACGAGGATAGATTTGACTTTGACCCACTTGATGTCACCAAGACCTGGCCTGAAGATATCATTCCTCTTCAGCCGGTTGGCCGATTGGTCTTGAACAAGAACATTGATAACTTCTTTGCTGAGAATGAGCAGCTTGCTTTCTGCCCTGCACTTGTGGTTCCTGGTGTATACTATTCTGATGACAAGCTGCTTCAGACAAGGATTTTCTCCTACTCTGATACCCAGAGGCACCGTCTTGGACCGAACTATCTGCAGCTCCCTGCTAATGCTCCCAAGTGTGCTCATCACAACAATCACCATGAAGGTCTCATGAACTTCATGCATAGGGATGAGGAGGTAATTTTCCCTAATCTTTTGAACATGCGCATTCATTTACTTGTTCAATTGGATCCTTTGGAATGGATTGGACTGGTCTGAATATAATCTGGGTTTGGCTCATGTTCTGATCGGTCTTTATGATGCAACATTTCAGGTGAATTACTTCCCCTCAAGGTATGATCCAGTTCGCCATGCTGAGCAATTCCCCATTCCTCCTCAAATGTGCACTGGAAAGCGCGAGAAGGTCAGTTCTTCATGATATGCTTCCCTTTTTCTTTCGACTCTGGTATTCAAGTTTGATAGGCAGTCGTCGTATAGGGCATTCTATCAGCATCAATATAACTTACTTTATACGTTCACTTGTTTGCCCTTCAATGTTCGGTCTTAAGATTGTTTTTAACATAATATTGTTTGATGCTTTGCCTTAACCTCTGTCAAATTGCAGTGTGTGATTACGAAGGAGAACAACTTCAAGCAACCTGGGGAGAGATACCGCTCCTGGGCACCCGACAGGTAGGATTTTTGCCCTCCAAATCTAGTGCAGCTCCCTACATGAACATGGGAAAAGATGTGACAAATGGAGTAAACACTTGTGCCTAACCTGCAATGTCTTTTTCAGGCAAGAACGATTCATCTGCCGATGGATCGATGCCCTCTCTGACCCCCGAGTCACCCATGAAATCCGCAGCATCTGGATCACATACTGGTCACAGGTTAGAAAAAAACCCCACCTCACAAGTCAATTCAGATAACCATCTCAACAACATTGATGCAAGTAAACTGTTTGTCTAAGTTTCTTCTGTTATCGATGTAGGCCGATAAGTCCCTCGGTCAGAAGCTAGCAAACCGTCTCAATGTGAGGCCGAGCATTTGAAGACATTCGAAGAAGAAACGCACAGCGCGATGTTTCTTGAGAAGAAGTGCCTGGAGAGTCGAAAGAGATGATGATTCCATCCAAGGAAAGAAAAGAGAAAATGGACACTTTGATTCTGTGCCCGTAATGTTGTACTACAGTGTGTTGAAACAGAACCTATAATGTGTGTTGTCTGCAACCCAGATCTGTGTTTACTGTCTAATAATCGTATAGCTGAAAGAGGAACACGAACCGAACCATATGTTTTTGTCTAATAATTGCATGCAATTTGTATGCACTTTGGTCCTTAAATATGCCTTGGCTCGAAATGTGGTTCTCTTTGGGCTTCGGCCCGATCTTGCTCGACGTCTTTTCAATTAGGGGGGCCCAATTTTTGTTAATTTTTGGCTTTCATGGGCCTTTGTTATCGCCACATAATTTGATGAGACGAGGAGAGGAGACTGCTTGTTTTTCAAAGGTTCAAAATGAAACGTCGGGTTCTGATTATTGGAGGGTGGTCTGTCTTGTTGCGGCTGGGCCTAATTCGTCAGATTTTGGTAGGGATTTGAAAATGAAAGCTGCGGCGGGTTATCACCATTAACGCTATGGATGGGTCAACATTAGGAGATTATATGGTTGTGGAGAGAATGCTTTGAGAGGTCCAACATGATCACATGAGAAATGTAACAGGACCATATCAAATTCATCATTGGATCGATTTTATGGCTCGACTGTTCGGAATTAATTTATTCTTCACAGGTGTAATGAGTCATCTCTTATTAGAGTTGTAATTTGAGGTGTAGATACAATTCCGGGAAGACAAATTTATAGTTTTATTTTCCATGGTCGCGCATCTTCAATTCTACTTTGTGATGTGAAGTTGTCGCGATGTCAGATCTGACATGCACAAGTAATCTTCGTATTTCTCCCATGTATTGTAATTTTTAGCCTCAAGCTTATAGGAACGAAGAAAATAAATCATATTTGTGAAGAAGACAATTATGCGACTGATCTCCTTATTAATAGAGACAATTTGCGGAGGCTATGAACTCCAAAGTTTGGTTAAAAATATGGGTTGAAGCCAAATAGTGAAAGTAAAGAGTTTTTATTTTACCTATCGATTCTATAGCATTTACTCACTTATAGCAGTCACAATAATGAACATGACTAAAAGAGTGTTCTTCTGCCGACAAATTACTCATTCAATAAAATATGGATGCTCATGATCCTAATTAGTATTGAATAAACTATCATGGGTGATCCCTCTTACATTATGAGAGCCAAAAAATTAAATTTGAATCGCCTGTATCAAAGAAATGTGTGACAAAACGAAAACGAAGTTTGTGTCCTTTGCAAACCAAGAAGTCTCCAATGCAAATTGGTTTGCAAACTACTTCATGAGACTTGAACTCATAGTAGTAGGAGGGGATTCAACTAGGGATGGCAATTACCCACCCATGGGTAATTTTACCCAAATCCAAATAGATCCATTTAGTATGGGTAGGGTTTGGATGAAGTGTATATGGGTTTGGGGGTTTGTAAATGGGTTTGGGTTAGGTATGGATATTGCTTTCATAATGTAAATGGGTATGGGTTGGATATGGATATACATTTACTTGAGGGTGTTTTAACTACACACACAAAAATTGGACCTATTTGTAAAACTTGAAAAGTTTAGGTACCAAAATGTAAGACCAAAAAATTTTAGGTACCAAAACGTAATTTTCCATCGATATTTTGAGGACTTATATGCAAAAAAAATTAAATTTAAGTACTAAATCTTCATATCTATTAAGTTTAGGTACCAAATTGTAATTTTCCTTTGGGTATGGGTACAAATCCAAATCCATGTGTTAAAAATCCAACCCAACCCAAGTAAATGGGTATGGGTACAAATCCATCAAACTCTACCCATCTACCATTTATTTGGAATCCATATCCAACCCAATAGGGTTGGATAGTAAAATACCCATGGGTATGGGCAAAATTGACATCCCTAGATTCAACTCAAAACCAAAACAAGATTCTAACCTGTTAATTAAGAATAATATGTGGGCATAGATCTATCATCCATCCACCATGACATCACAGATAAATAATTAATCAAGAATAAGCTAGAATCTCAACACCCCCACCCCCACTTGCCTTTGCATCTTTGCCCTCCTTAAAATATTAATTACCACTAATCCTCAGCATTGGGGGAGCTTAATCAACTTACAGCTATTTGTTCTTCCTTCTTTCACACCAAGTCTGGAAAAAAAATATCTCTCATCAAGGCTTATATCATTAGGAAGATGTCCCTATTTAATTGCTTAAGCTCATTGTTTATGATTAATTACTACAATGTCAGAACTTGGTCATGATAAAAATTACAAGTGAGAAGGACGTGTGGGGTTGCATTGATGCAAGTGTGCGGTTCCTTGAAGCAATCAATCATTTTGTTTTTAGGAGTTAATTACCCAAAAAAAGTTGATTAGTTATTAGTTTAATTCAAATATAACAATTCAGTGATTGAGACTTGAGGGGCCTTATTTAGTGGATCTCCAAAGTTTCTTGAGATGTTTGCGTAAGAGAATGGTTGAGAGGTGTGAGAACGGATCTTATATTATTACATTACACGTCGCATAAAAAAAAATTAATTTATAGTTAGAGGTTTAGCTAGACATGTTATAATTTATGTTTAAAGCGTTGATAAATGTTAAGAGTTAGTAAGGATTCGAAACACACAAGATCATATGGTCAAACAGTCTAATGACATATCAGGTACAAGTTATTGGGCGAGTTTGGGAAAATTTCGAGTAAGGATTCAAAACACACAAAATCGTATGGTCAAATGCTATGATACCATATCAGCTACGATTTATTGGGTGAGTTTTGAAAAATTTCGACCCGACATATTGTCTTTAGTTTGAAATGGCTTGTAAGAGGTTCTGCCAACAACTCTAGGTTTTTTATTCAACATGTCCTCGACATTTTAAGTTATTCAAAATAGTCCTAGTAGGAAGGTCTGAGCCCTGAAGTGTAGTGTAATTCGCATTCAATTTGGATTCTCACTATTTATGACAAAAAAAAAATAGTACTATCCCGTTAGCATTTAGCTTCTTTTATTCACCTTTTTTTGGTACATGATTGATCGTACTTGAATTTTCTAAAATCTGGTGTAGGATGAACATTGTCCAATTGTTGATATATTTTTCATAATCAAACCGAGTAGAGAATGCATTAGATCAAATACAAAGGAAAAAAAAAAGTGAAGACTAGGGTTGGACCATAGAAAATGGTTTACAGATCATTAGGGTAGGTACATATTTAGAAAAGTTGAGAGCATCATTGAATTAATTAATCTGGGACTGTGGTCAAGCTCAAGCCTACCACTATGTTAGCTGTTTAAACAATGTTCAGTATACCAAATCATCTTTAATTAATTAAAAAATCCCAAAGCGATAATTAAATCCATTGGTTCCTAAAGTTGAAAACTGAAAATTTAAATATTTAGCTTTTAGTATTATTTAATAATGTGGTTTGAGCCTTGATGTGTAAGTTCAATTTGTCCAAATTGATGGAGTTTTGAAACAGAGATGTCGGCCCAATTTCCTACTATAACTTAAGCATGACAGGGGGAATGATCAATAATACAATGTTTAATCATTTTATCATTACCTTAGAGAGAAGGGGGAAAAATATTGGTATTGGATTTATTTTCCTATACTAAAATGTTAACTTGTTAGAGTGAGCAGGACCATCATGATATACGAGCGAAGTGTGCCATGCTCTGCGTTCTACAACTCGACCACTAGAAACACGACCATACTTAGGTGTTAGGTGTGCCAAAACTCAACCAGCCACCAGGGGTCATTTGTTTGATGGATTTGAAAAATGAGAGTTTTGGCTCAAAAAAACTTTTGGATTAATGAGGGATTTGTATCATCATGAATTTGAAGAGTCTATTGTTTGCATGATAGATTTGATGATATAATTATGATGGATTTGCTATAAATATAACTAGCCATCAAGGATTTATAAATTCCACCCCAATATGTGGGATTTACAAGTCCGTGGGGTCCACGGATTTGGATCCAAAAAAAGGAACAAATCCGTGGACCCCACGGATTTAACACCTGACAACAAACAATGGACTTGGCTAAAATCCATCATACTTGGGATTTGAGTCCCAAATCCATGACCCAAATCCATCAAGCAAACGACCCCTAAGACATTCTGTTACTTAAGGGGGTAAGGCTAGGGCTGTCAATTTGGTTTGGTTTGGTTAACCAAACCATTAAGTATGAAAAACCAAAACCAAAAAACCAAATCCTCAAAAACCAAAACCAAAATCATTAAGGCCCTTATTGGTTTTCGGTTGTCAAAAACCAATAAGGACTTTAATGGTTTTGGTTTTGGTTTGGTTAACCAAAAAACCAACATGTACTCATACACTCATATTTATTCCCATTTCCCTCCTTTTTATTGAATAAATGTCATAATAATGGTAAATAGCCATTACAAAATATTGGTTGACTCAAAAGAAGAAGAAAAAAAAATGTTGATAAATAATATTATTTTTATTGGTTTCTATTGGTTTTTTGGTTTTAACAAAACCAAAACCATTAAGTTTCTTATTGGTTTAAAACCGAAAACCGAAACCATTAGCTTTCCAATTGGTTTGGTTTCGGTTAAAACCGAAAAACCAAAACCAAATGGACAGCCCTAGGTAAGGCTGACACTCAACACCATCCTGATACTAGGGGTGGGCATCCGGTTCGGTAAACCCGAACCGAACCGGACCGAACCGAGTTTCTACCGAACCGAAACCGAAATAGTGTTGTTCGGTTCGGAAATCGGAAGAGGAATTGACCTAATTCGGAAGTCAAGGTTGTAACGACCGAACCTAGTTCCCGAATTTCGAACCGACCAACCGAAATTCTACTCACAATCTCCCCAACCCAGACCCCAAAGCCCAACCAAAACCCAGCCCAGTCCATACACAGCCCAGTTCATACACAAATACAAAGCCCAAACTCTCCCCCAACCCTAACTCCCTTAGCCTAAATCTAACCAACCAACAAAAGATACTCAGCCGCCGCCGGTAGCCTTCTTCCATGGTTGAGCTCCCTGACCTGAAACTTGATACCGAAACCCCAAATCCAAACCTAAAACCAACATACATCAAAATCAGTACTGATAATCAAACGAGGAACCCACATGCATGTCGAAAAGATCTTACCCAATTCTAGATCTGACTCCCTCCATTGCCGGCGCCGTCGACGGGATTGGACCACCGCCTCCCCTGCCGCGAGCTATGCCCGCCCCATCTCCACATGCCGAGCAATCTCTTCTTCCTCTT